CTGGCGAACTGTCAGCTCGGTCGTGAGCCCTTTCAGGTTTAATTATATATTTTTTCATAGGGCCATCCAATTATCCCGACACTGTATTAAAAAGCCCCTTATGGGCCGGCCCTGTGGCGCACTCGGTAGAGTGCGGTGCTTGGGAGCGCAGCGGCGCTCCCGCCAAGGGTTGGGATCCCATATAGAGACCAGTCCACTCACTGGTTGAGCGCGGTGCGGGCGCGACACCGAGGGTTGCGATCCTGTTACCGGTCACGAAAAAAGATAAAAAGGAAAATAAATAAATAAATAAATAATAAAAATAAAAATAAAAATTTTTAAAAAGCCCCTTACTTCATTTCTTCCTACTGGTTATTCTTAGTAAAGTGAAAGCTGTTGATGTCTGTATATTCCTTTTATATTTGGATAATTTATTAAGTTCTGTTTTTTAAAGCATTAATAAAGACTTAGATAATTACCTTAATAAAAGTGGAGAGATATTACATATTTTTGGAAGGGATTACCATATTATAAAGATATTAATTCTTCCTAAACTAGTTTATAAGTACAATGCAATCTCAATCAAAATTAGTTGGATATTTTTTAAGAAACTCAGTAAACTTACTATAAAATCTAAATGGAGGAATAAAGTCCCATGAATAATAGCCAAATTAGCCTTGGGGAAAAAACAAAGACGTTGCCCTGTCAAATATTAAGACGCACCACAAAGCCATACTAATAAAAATCTGGGTTGTATTGGTATAAAAGATTTTAAATCGATGGACTAGAAGAGACAGCCCAAAAACAGACACATGTATATATGGGACCTTTTTTTTTAAAAAAAAAAAAAGATGACTGGTAAGGGGATCTTAACCCTTGACTTGTTGTTGTCAGCAACATGCTCTCCTAAGTGAGCTAACCAGCCATCCCTATATAGGGATCCGAACCCATGGCCTTGGTGTTATAAGTATCACACTCTCCCGAGTGAGCCACCAGACAGCCCTTATATGGGATCTTAATATACAATAAAGTTGGCTTCATAAACCATTGAGGAGAGGATACTTTATATATGCCACTGATAAAACTGGCTTACTCTAAGGAGAAAAATGAAATTCATTTCCTACCCAATGCCACATGCAAATATGGTCTTCAGAAGGATTAAAACAAAATGTGAAAGATAAATCTATTCAGTTGAAAAATAAATAGGAATGACCTTGGGGTGGGTAATAACTTCTTTAAACCTCTAAGCACAAATCATATGGCAAAGAAAAGGTTAACTTGATTAAATAAAAATTAAGAATTCTGTTCAACAAAGGACATCATGGATAAAACTGACAAATGACAGACCAGGAAAAGATATATGCAGTGTATTAAAGCAACAAGGAATTAATATCTAAAGATATTATTTACTCTTGCAAATCAATATGAAAAAGAAAATAACCTCAGGGATGGTCAGTGAGCTCAGTTGGTTACAGCGTGGTGTTATAACACCAAGGTCAAGGGTTCAAGGAAGGATCTCCTTACCCCTTACCAGCAAGCCTCCAAAAAAAAAAAAAAAAAAAACAGAAAGAAAGGAACCTCAACAGACTTGGGCAAAGGACACAAACAGGCAATTTAAAAATAAAGAAACTTAAATGCTATGGAGGGATGAGCCAGAATATTAGTAGTCAGAAAATGATAAATAAAATGAACTATCGTTTTACGGCTATTAGACTGGCAAAATTTAGAATATGGAATAATGTGAAGTGTTCGTGGGTGGATGTGACTAGAGAGACCCTAATGCATTGTTGATGGGAGTGTAAATGGGTACACTATTTTGGAGAGCCATTTAGTCAAATTAAATATACGCATATGTTATGACCTAGAAATTCTAATGGTGGATATGCATGCAAAATACATTCTCACATAGGTCCTTAAGGGACATGTATAAGGATGTTGATTACTGTAGGAATGGACCGATAAAACATGATAGAGGTACACCCAGCAGGGTTGTGCAGCATTTACAAGCAATGGACTACATATACATTGGTCCAATGGATGGATCTTAAAAACCGTAGTGCTGAATAATGTGTTTAGTATGTGTCTATTTTAGAACAAAACTCCTAAGGGTATCTGTATACACTTATACATCATTGGATTAGGGAGGAGAATAGATTAATTCACGGAGATGGGTGCAGAAGGCAGGGCAGGAAGACATAAACAGACAATACAGAAAGGCATACAGTTATTTCTGAAAGTGGAATTATGAGTGATTGTAATGTTATTTTTCATAGTTTCTTCAATGAACTGCTACTAAATTAATCAGAACAAAGTAAGTTCACTGAAATAATTAAACTCAGAACCTTCTGAAGGGGATCAATGATCCCCTTTACTTTCTCCTATGATTATTGGTTATTTGGTTTTCTACTTCTAGATCCAATATTAGTCATTTTTTCCCCTTAAAAAATAATTTATTTCATATAAATTTTCAAATGGGTAACGTTGTATGTAGTATTTGAATAATCATCATAATAAGTCTTCTATAGTTATTTCTCTTCCTTCATGTCGTGTATTCTGTCCTTAATTGAATTTTTTTCCCTTAAAAAATAATTTATTTCATATAAATTTTCAAATGGGTAACGTTGTATGTAGTATTTGAATAATCATCATCATAAGTCTTCTATAGTTATTTCTCTTCCTTCATGTCGTGTATTCTGTCCTTAATTGAATTTTTTTCCAAGGATATTTTGAACAGTTTAATAAAAATCAAGGGATAAATTGTTCACTGGCTGTATTTCCGTTTATGTTGCTTATAACAAAATACTTGAAACTGGGTGATTTATAAAGAAAAAAGACATTTATTTGCTTACCGTTACTGAGGCTGGGAAGTCGGAAGTCCGAAGTCCAGGGGTCCCACATTTGCAAGATGGTGGAAGCAGAGAGAGCAGAGATAGAGACAGACTCTCCTCTTCTTTTAAAGCCCTCAGAACCATGCCCCTGACCACCATTATTAATCCATTCACTACTGCAGGGTCCTACAATCCAATCCCCTCTTCAAGACTCCACCTTTCAGTTACCATAACAGTATTTCCCACCCTCTTAACAGTCACAGTCGGGGCTAAGTTTCTAATACATAAAACTTGAGGGACACAATTCAAGCTTCAGTGAGTTTTGGGGGACATTATTCAATCCACTACATTGGCCTAAATTTAATCTATAAAGTCTCCAGAAATCATCCCCAAATCAGTTTCATACAAAAAGTTTTAGCTTTCTACTGTAGATATTTCCCTGTGTCTGGAGATTCTAGCTGGATTATTCAGGGGGTTCATTGAGGATTGAATGAGTTAATACACGCTAAGGCATTTAACATCGTGCCCAACACACAGTAAATGCTCAATTCACTGCTATAATGGTTAAAAACTGCTATAATGATTGAGGATTGAATGAGTTAATACACGCTAAGGCATTTAACATGGTGCCCAACACACAGTAAATGCTCAATTCACTGCTATAATGGTTAAAAACTGCTATAATGATGATGGCAATAGCTGCAAACTGCTTTTCTGTCAGCCATAAATACCCAGCACAGGCCTGGGCACACTAATACTTAGGGAGATGCTCAGTGACTGATGGATGTCTCCAGCACTTGAGATTTCCTCCTGACTGATTTTAACTCATATTTTAAAAGGCAAGATGTGGGCTCAACTCCACTTCGATTAATATTATTAATTTCTGCTTTTATCTTAATGTTCAGGCTTTCTTGTTTTCTTTTTTTTTTTAATAGATTATGAAACCTTTATTTATTTATTTATTTATTTTTTCCTTTTTGTCTCTTTTTTTGTGACCGGCAACGGATTGCAACCCTCGGTGTTGCCCCCGCACCTCGCTCAGCCAGTGAGCAGCCGGTCTGTATGTGGGATCCGAACCCTGGGCGGGAGCGCCGCTGCACTTCCCAAGCGGCGCACTGTAGCAGTGCGCCACCAGGCGGCCCAGGCTTTCTTGTTTTCTAATCAACACATTTAAGGGGATAAATTTTCCTCAGAGCATTATTTCGACTGAATCCCACAAGTTAAGATAACAAGTGTATTCAGTGACCCTGTTAAAAATTCAAAGCAATTGGGCCGACCCTGTGGCTCACTAGAGAGAGTGCAGCGCTGGCAGCGCCAAGGCTGCGGGTTCGGATCCTATATAGGGATGGCCGGTGTGCACACTGGCTGAGCATGGTGTAGACGACACCGAGCCAAGGGTTGCTATCCCCTTACCAGGAAAAAAAAAAAAAGTTAATCATAGCGTTACTATGTGACACAGGAATTCCACTGCTAGTTAATACACACAAAATAAATAAAAACATACCACACAAAAACTTTTACAGGAATGTACACAGCAGCATTTTTCATAATAGCCAAAATACTGAAACAACCCAAATGTTATAAACTGATGAATACTTCAATAAAATGTGGTATATCCATACTACGGGATATTATTGGGCAATAAAAATAAATCAAGTACTGATACAAGTAGCAACATTGATGAACCTTGAAAACATGATGTTATGTGAAAGAAGCCCGTCACAAATGACTACATATTCTCGGGTCCCATTATATGGAATGTCTGGAACAGGCAAATCTATACAGAGAGATAGTAAATTAATGATTGTCTCGGACTGAAGGTTTTGAAGGCAAATGGGGAATGACTGCTAATGGGTTTCGGGATTTCTTTTTGGGATGATTAATATATTCTAAAATTGATTGTGATGCCCCTCATCTCACCTCCGCCACGTTCCCCTGACACCCCCGCAGGCGTTAACAATGAGTTCCATAATGCTCTGTCTCCTTCCGCTTTCCAAAAGCAGCTGTGGGACGACGGTGGAAAAATAGTCCCTTGGCAACGGCGTTCTTCTCACAAGGAGGCGGAACTAGGGCGGGGCTTACGAGCGGAAGAAACCGAAACGCCGTGACTCCTGTGGCGCGATTGGGTCCCACCCTCCCGGGGGGCGGGATCAAGCGGGCGGAGGGATCTTAGACAGCGGGTGGCCCTCCGCCTCCATTTAAGGCGGGAGAGTAGCTCGGGAGGTAGTTGCTGTGGTTTCGGTCCTGAGGCGGCCTCTTGGGAGTCAAAGCTTGTGGACGGAGCGTTCCGCATCAAGGTCCATCCGTCGGTGGCTGCAGACCGTGAGGTCAGGAGTTCAGCGTCCCTTCTCCTGACCAGGACCGGTCCCCTGCTTTACCTTCGCCACTCAGTGCTCGTATCTACTCAGGGGCCTAGGTCGGCTCCCGGGCGGCTGAGAAGAAGGCCGCCAGCGAGATGTTCAAAAACACATTCCAGAGCGGCTTCCTCTCCATCCTCTACAGCATCGGCAGCAAGCCCCTGCAGATCTGGGACAAAAAGGTCAGGGGCTGGGGGCTGGGAATAGTTGTGTGGAGCTGGGGCCTTGGAGGGGCAGGGAGGCCGCTCCCGTGCCTTGTCCTCAGCCTGGCGGGACTGAGGCGCGAGGTGGAGGGGGTCGTGTAAGCAGCAGGGGGTGCTTGTGGGGTGGGCGTGGCTGGGTTGAAGGGTCCTGTGGCCACGATGTGGTTAGGACAGCGGCCCTCGCCGCTCACTTGACCTGGTCAGTCAATTCTTCTGAGCCACGGTTTCCCCATACATATAATGGGGTTCATAGAGCCCATCTCATAACATGGAATGCATAATCTTTTGTGAGGAAACTTTGGGGACGTACAAGTGAAAGGAACTACTGTTCATGGGCCCCGTAAATATTTACTGATACCCTGTTCTGTGCCTGGCACTGTGCTGGGCACTAGACACAAAGCCTTTGTTCCAGGCTCTCTTACAGAGGCACAGCCAGAATCGGCCAAGCCAGTGATGTTTGGGTTTCATTCATTTGCTCCCTTCCTCCCACGGATCCCAAAAAGCCTGAATTCGGTGGCCTTTGGCACCTGCTCCGCACATGGTGACTTGGGGTCTGTACTGTGCTTTCAGTGCCTGATTTCTCCATCAGGATAACTGCAAAATGGTGACAAAGTCTTGTCTGGATTAATAAGGTCAGAGCCAGTACAAACCTCATTATCATCCACTAGATGATACTTTTATTGACCCCGGGAGATGATGACCCCGTCCACTTTTTGGAGTTGTTAAGTAAGGCCTAGCTGTCTCTGAGTTGGGCTGCACATTTGTTCTTTGCGCAGATTCCCAGGAGCCAGCTGTACCATTTTTTAAATATAAGTTAAGGTAAGCACTCTGATGTGGAAGACAGGTGATTTACGGAATAGCCTTTGTGCTGCCCTCAAGGGAGAATCTAGAGAGGTGGTGTGCGTGATGTTTTCATAGACGTGCATGTGGAATAATCTAAATAAGCAGATTATTGGTAATAAAATCAGGAATTTTGGATTTTTATCTCAGAACAACTCCCTGTCTTCCCTTATCAACAGATGAGATCTTTGGGCCACATAGAGGTTGGGAGAGAACATGGATAGCCTTCTACCTGTCACCGCTAGGGAATTCTGCATTCTGAGAAAAGCTTTGAGGATGGTGTATTCATGGTGTCATTTCCATAGGATAGTTGAAAGATCTGAATATAATGAGGTTGGACTTGTGCATATGTGAAGTATCTGACCATTGAAATAGAGAGTGAGACTTGACCTAGGAGGAGAGGTTTTCAAGAGAAGGTCAGAGAACTTACTGACACTGAAAGAATTCCAGTGGGAGGGATGCCTCAGAATTTCTATTACAGAAACTTTTATCAGAGTGCCCATTTTATCCCTCTGGGCTTGATTGTGGTGTGTTTTATTTTTCTAAAGCAGCTTTTGATTAGTCAATATGTTTACACACAGAATATAAAAGCAAAGTAACCATGGTGCACGTGTCCCTTAACAACGCCACTAGAGGTCGGATGGTACCCTAATGACATAAACATGTATGAAAACATTGTTAGATCAATTGACAGGGTTACATGGAGTATATTAAACATGTTTCGGTAAAGAAAATCTTTAGAAGAACACTCATTTTAAGCAAAATCTTCACCATATTGAAAGTTGATTATGTGTTTAAAAAGTTGTTTTAGTAGTAAAAGTTAATTGCTGTTCATAAGACTAGATTGAAAAGTGTTAGAGGTGAGTTTTTTCGCCCCTGTTACAAGGGAAGGAGAGGGAGGAAAAGGGAAAGTTTGGGGCCGTATTCATAGGCTTTTTTATGTGTGCTTTTTCTTAGCTATATTGTAGTCCTCAGAATATGTTGGGAATCCAATCCAGTCCAGGAAACACTGGGAATTGTTATACTTACCAAAGAACTATTGAGCAACAGCTAAGTGATGGGCATTGTGTAGACTTCGGAAGATACGGAGTTAGAGAAAACATTTTCCCTGCTTCCAGGGAATAAGGCAAAGTTGTAACAAGGGCAAAGTTTGATGAGAGGAGGGAGGACTGTCTACATTTATCTAGATACGGCCCTGACCTTTGCCGATAGGTCCATATTGACTCTGGTGCCTATTTTTAGTCATTATTTTGATTTCACAAACTTTTCTATTCTCCTTCCTGAGTTTTATAGGGAGAAAATTTCTGTTTGGTTTCTATGAAGAAGAATCTTGAAAAATTAGGTTTGGCTTCTGTTGAGCCTGTGTGTCTCATTAGGAAGTGAATGCCATATTCACAATACCATTGAATTTGCAAATTTCACTTATGTGGGTATGATTTGCTTATAATGTTTGTAATATCTGCAATTTATCCCATTCTCTTTGAAGCTCACAGACCCTCCCCCTCCCTATCTCATCTGTCAAATCTCAACTTAAACATTATTTTTATTGGGAGCTTAAGTTAGGTTTCATGTGTGCTCCCATGTCTCTCTATATCACATTACATGGCAATTTCCTATTTATTGTATATCACCCACTAGACACCAAGTTCTTTAAGGCAAAGAATAGTATCTTACCTTGAAACCCCTGACACCTTGGATTTGCATCAGACACCTTGGAATGGCATCCTGGCTGTGCTATGTTCTAGTTGTGTGACCTTGGGCAAGTACTTAACCACTCAGTTTTCTCATGGTTATGAAGATTAAATGAAGATGTACATAAAATGCCTAGCAACAGAGTTATGGCCTATAGTATTAAATATGGCAGAGAACTGAGGGATTTGCTCAAGACTAAAATAAGATGTTTATAACTGAGCCCAGCATTCAGATGCCTAATAAAAGAAGTACAGTAAAACCAGATTTCTGAAGTTAAAATAATTCAGTTATTGCACCATGGCTTCCCCAGTCCAAAATCCTTAATGTGGCTCTAAGGCCACACAGCCCATGGTCTGGTGCCTCCTTCACTAGTTCTCCTGGCTCACCTCACCGGTTTTCCCCTTTTAGCAGTAGCCTCCTACTGAATTGAAAAAAAGTCCTATCCTCTCACCTTCAAGCTTTTGCACTTGCTGGACCCCACCCCTCATTCCCAACTCCTCCACCTTGTCATTACTCTCCAAGTCACAGTTCAAAGGCACTTTCTCAGAGAGGCCTTCATGCACCCTCCAGGCTGAGTTAATTTCTATCTACTCGTAGAACCTCTACTTCCTTCTCATCACACTTGAAATTAGCTTCTTAATGATCTGTATTCCTGGCTACACTAATTTTCCTGA